TATAGTAATATACTCTATCTACTAATATTAAATCTTAGCTAGATATTAATTATAGAGTGGATTAACCTGACCGTTATATCTTAACCTTAATCTGACTATAACCTGGCAGTTAGATTAAGATATAAAAAAATTTTAACTATACAGTTATAATTAGATTAAGATATAATTATTATTTTAACTGTTTATACCTGCCGGTCAAAAAAATTAGATATAATAAATAGATTAATAACCGCAGATTAATTAATAATATATATATTTCTTTTATATAAATAATATATAAAGTATAATATACTTTTAATTATAGTATAATAATATTATTTAGATTTAGCTTATCTACTTAATTTATTTAATTTATTTAATTTATTTAATTTATTTAATCTGTTTAATCTGCTTGATCTCTTCTTTTATAGTTCTAAGAAGTATACTATACTTTAAAAAAAATATTTATAAAATTTAGTATAAAAAATATAAAATTTAATATTAGATAAACTAATAAAATTATACTACTTTTTATATTATTTATAATAATAATTATAGTAGTAAAGAAATTAAAAAACCCGGGTCTTTATCTCTATCTGAGTATATATAATATTTAAAGATTTAAGTAAAGCTAGCTTTTCTATTTCTAATAATAATTTATTTTTTAAATTATTTTTAAGATTATTTATATTCTTATTTTTACTAATATAAAAAATAGTAATTATTTTATTTTTTTCTTATTTTTTAAATATAAAGATAATCAAATCTGGATTAAGATTATTAAGAATATTCTAGTACTTTTTACTAATAGTAAAATAATTAGTATATATCTAAAGTATTACTGTTTTAATTATATTAGAATAAAAACAGCTCCGGCGATAGTAGCAGATATTTTAAAAATTATTAAATAAATATTTAATATTAATACTATTAGTAGCAACTGAGAGAAAATTTTTAGCTATTTAATAAAAAATAAAAAACTAATTATAACAGGATTTTTAGTAAGTAAGAATATTAGTATATTTTATAATATCTAAAATAGTATTAGTTTAATTAAAAATATTTTAATAAGCTATATATTTTTAATATCTAAATATATCTTAAGTTTTTTAAATATTTCGGCTGCCGGTAAGAGTTTTTAATATTTAAAAATATTATAAAAGATTTTATTTAGGTCTAATAGTAATCCGGAGATAGTTAATAATATATTAATAACTAAATTCTGATTATAATAAAAATAGAATATTTTTTTAAAAACAGTTCGGTATTTAAAATACCAGTTAGTATTATTATTCAGCCAAATATTTTTTTTAAATTTTTTAAGCTTTAATATCGGGTCTAGAATAGTTATAATTATATAAATATAGTTTTCTATTTAATAAATATAATAGTAGTATTTTCGGAGCTTTTAATATATATTTTATAAGTCTTTAATAATCTTTTTTTTTTAGAATACCCGCTTTTTTATTAGTTGGTTAATTAAGTGATTTAAATAATTAAAAAAATTATTATAAATATTATAGATTTTATAAACAGTAGGCCTACTGTTCTTAAATAGATATAATATAAAAAAAAAAAAAGTATAAAAATTTAAAAAGATATTTTATCTGTTTCTACTTAATTATAGTAGAATAAAGATAATTAATATTATTATAATTATAGTACTAAATAAAACTGTTAATTACTTAATAAAAATTAAGTATCCGGTAAATTATAAAATAAATTAAGTTCTAGTAAGTTTTATAGTTAAAAAAAAATAATAAACCGAGCTTAATTCAAGTTATTAAATAAGCTAAAACTTTTTATAATATTAAGAACTTATATTTATAAATTATATAATTTTTTGAATCTATAATTAAAAATTAGTATTATTAGCTATTATTAAAAAAAACCTTTAGAATCTATCTGTAAAAGACTAATTTAGATAATTTCTATTATAATAAAAGCTCTTTATATTAGTCTTTTATAAATAGCTTTTAGAATATATTTTTTTAAAAGTTTTTAAAATATTAGAAGAGGCTTTAAAATTTTTATTATAATTTTTTTATATATATTCGACAGTACTGTTTAAGACTTTAATCTAAAGTTTTTATAAAAGAATATTAACTATAAGCTAAATTATATAAGTAAAATAGAGTATATAATACTGGCTTTAAATAATTATTATAAAATCGGGATTAAATAAAATATTATAAAGCTAAATATTTTAACTAAACTAAGTCTAAAATTTAGATAAGATTATATTAAATATTAAATTATTATTACTAGTATTATTAATTATTATATCTAATAACTAATAAAACAGATTAGATTTATATAAAATTAATAGAATAATTATAGCTAGATTCTTACTAATATAAGATCTAGATACCGGTCGGAAGTCCAGTAGAACTTTATAATAATTTATATTTTTTATTAAAAAATATCTAGTTAAAATAAGAAATATTTTTTAATTAAAACTAGTTTAATAGTTTATTATAACTAATATTTTTCTAATATCTAAAAACTTTAATAACAGCTGTATATATATATTTTTTAATAATTCTAAAAAATATTCTTTAAT